AGTTTCATTGCTATATCGCTATATCCATACGTCATGGCATTCATAGACAGATGATCTTTATTAAAATAAAGCATAAACATTTTCTTAATTTGGGATTCCTACTCGAAACATTATATTTGACCAACCTGGCCAGCATAATAGGCAATGGTACTGGTGATAGACAAACTCTATTTCATCAACGATATAAAAATAGTCTAGGAGCCATACAAGTAAAGTACTGTGGTACTTGGACTGTGGGTAAGAACATTAATTTATTTCACAATTTATTAAAACAACTCCGCTTGCAGAAACTTATGCTATAAATACAACACATATAGCTTTTAATAACAGTGATTCTGTGGTAACAAAAAAGCTATAAGTAGATACAACCAATGTTTATTATTTTTTTACTCAACTACGTAACAGGGGTATGGATGGGTACGTATCTGTGAGATATCTATTTTATTTAATGGTTATATTTAGTATTGCAGAATAACTCGAGTAAATAGTAACTATCATTGAGGTGTGTTTTCTGCAATCGGTGTTTGTATGGATAGTCAAATCGTAACATGCTTAAATGGATCTCCATGTTTACATTTATTTCTTGAAGTAGTAGCAGTAGAGTAACACTTTTTTTTTAAGGGGGGAAAATCATCGAATGACTGCTCCCGTCTGGGTGAGGCGGGAGGGAGTGTCAGACTCTTACTGACTAAAAACCACCCCGTTCCTTCTTCTGCACGTCGAGCCGGAGCCCCGGTTACCCGTTAGGTTCTCCGCGACAGTAGAGTAACATTGCAAGTAAAATATTGATTCAAGCGTGAGCTTCGGTATCTAAGCCAAAAATAAGTAACTGTTTTAGTAAGCACCTAACTATGTATTTGAGCTTGTAGATGTATCTTTTAATAAAGAAAAATTTCTTCGTTTTTTATATAAATTTGACCTTTATTTTCTTTACAAATAAATGAATATTTGAGTAAACCTAGACTGAATCCTTTGAATGTAGCCGTAGGTGTCACAAAGGACAATTTTATTTATAGCGAGTTCTCTTTATCCGTCTTCTTTTTAACAAAAGGGCCTTATTGTGAATTTGGAATAAATAAACGATTCATATAAGACATTTTGAATGAGAAAAAACAAACCAAAATATGTATAAACATAAGTAAGCATTGTAAGTACCTATAGTATTTTTTTTAGTTGTTCTATTTGTATTCTATGTACACTATATCTATACATAACACAACATCACGCCTTTTATCTCCGAAGAAGTAGGCAGAGGTGCACATTACAGCACTTAATGCCACTGTACAATGTAATATCCCCTTTTCACTATTTATGTTATGAGTCCCATGTATTAGGGGGTGAGCCTATTGCCATATACCGGGCACAATTCCAGACTCCGTGCTACTACTGAGAATTTTTAAAAACCCAGTAATACTTTGCATGACCCGGGAATCGAACCCGAGACCCCTTTTTTTTTTTTTTTTTTTTTAAGGGGGGAAAATCATCGAATGACTGCCCCCGCCTGGGTGAGGCGGGAGGGAGTGTCAGACTCTTACTGACTAAAAACCACCCCGTTCCTTCTCCTGCACGTCGAGCCGGAGCCCCGGTTACCCGTTAGGTTCTCCGCGACTCCGAATCGGCATCGGCCCTATTGGGCCCCATCTGTGGTGGTCTGATGGCTCTTTGAGGCGCGCGCGGAACGCGACGCGCCGTACGCTCGGGTCTGTTTCTGGTCGGACGGGGAGCCACCCATGCTCGCCGTCCGCAGGCCCGCGCTTACGGTGGCCGGAGATCGTCCCGCGATCCCCGACGCCCGGTGTGTCCTTCGCGATGGCTGGGTTGCGAGGAGGCAGCGCTTCGCTGCCTCACGCGTCCCGCCTCCTCCTTAGCTAGCATGACTGCTTCGCAAAAGGAGGAGACGGCATCCCAATCCCCCTCGCTCCGCATCATGGCCTGCACTAGGCCCGGACGCGAGAGGTCGCCATCGCCGATCACTTCCCTGAGGACACGGCGGTGCTCAGCCCACGAAGGGCATTCTCCCACCGTGTGTTCCACCGTGTCCTCAGGGCGGTCCTCGCAGTGATGACACCCGGGCGTTTCCTCCCGCCCCATCAGACACAGGTACCTCCCGAAACTTCCATGTCCGGTGAGGACCTGCGTCAGGCGGTAGGTGAGGACGCCGTAGCGTCTCTCAAGCCACTCCTCAAAGAGGGGACTTACCGCTGCGATGGCAGCGAGCCCAGAGACCCCTTGCCTGGCAGTCGCACTTGCGACCACTCGGCCAATGAGGCAGTCCAAACCATTTTATATTAAGTAATATCATATTTATAACATGCCCTGTTAACCAGTTATTAGCCGCATATAATGGGCGACCATAAAGCCCATTTAATTGTATATCTGTGTAATTTTACCCCTTCATGAAATAAACTTCATAAAAAATTCAGTTTGCCTTCTTTAGTAAAAAATATATTTCCTTTCTTATTTCCGCCTTAAACTCAAAATATTTGACACTAAACCAGCCAAATGCCGTCTATTAATGTTGTTAGTGCAACACCTGTAAAGAAGGTACTGAAATATACCCACTTACTTCATTACTATAGCACGCCTCCACGCTTTTTCATTGCATATTGGTCTTTGGAGACGTAATAATAAAGTTTCATTTGTGTCTAATCCGACTGCTAACTCCTATTAAAGCAGTTCTGGAAAAGTTTGTTCTTTTGTATAGATATTTATTAAAGACTACATACTTTGCTATTTTATACGATTTCCACAATACCAAATCGAAATCCTCTGTTCTTAATTAGGTATAGGAAGTGCCCATCTACACCTAGTGTGGTAAGGAGGAAACCAATCTCAAGAATTGCAAAGTTATCTATTTCCTTCGATATTTTTGTTTTGAAATGTAAGTATAAGTAACATAAATATCTAGAAAGAACTGGGTAATATCTAGGATGAACCTTACCAAGGATATTATTTGTGACACAATTTGTAGATAACTAGAGAACAGCAATTAATTCACGCTGTTCAACTAACATCGATACTCGATAGGAACAGTGTAGTATCATTGATCATGTAACAGTATACCTCGTAAACCTTAGATACTGACAGCAGAGTCAATTTATCTGGAAATCCCAAGATAATATGTGTATGTACTCGATTTCGCTCAACGACGACTTGATATACGTATGTATGAGTCGATAGCGATAAACTGGCAAACTGAACCCCAGTTCACATATATTATTTTGTATGCTCAATTTCATATTTAAAGCATCTGTGATGCGCTTTTGTTAGAGATAAAACGTTGACTATCTGTGGGTGAATCTGGTCGAGTCTGAGCCTTTAGCCAAACGCCACTTTAGCGCTTGTCTACAGAGAGAGTAGAAATCAAAATGTATGGGGATGACACTGACAAGGTGTCAAAATTTACGTCATTTCCATATAATTAGGTTTTC